TTCTATGTGATGTTTCGTTGTAGTGAACATAAACACAAATCACATATTAATTACTCAATAATGTGCTACCTATTTCATAAACTATGTTCCATATGGTATCATAAACTATGTTCCAATTATGATATGGTACCGTTAATCATGTCGGCTATCGCCATCTGGCCTTCTTCGTCTACCTTGTTCTGTTTTGCAACAAATAGGCTATTTGCTACTTTTTTAAGACCTCTCTCAAGGTAATCACTAGCTGAATAATTAATTAATCATCCTATCAATGGTCAGTTCTCCTCCCACCTACTCCCCCTATCGTACTAAAACAAATAAATTCATAGCATCCTAATAAGAAAAGTTTAGAAGTAAGGAAGAAAAAATAAAGTATCCAATTGTAATAAAAAAATATGTAGTATTGGAAAGGTTGGGTGATTAAAAGGGCAAAATTTCTCGATAAGTAGGTCAAGTATATAAGAAAGTAAAATTAATTTATTTTAGGGTGAATTTTAAATTCTAGCAATCCATTTATTTTGTGATGTAATTTCATCAAAATGGTCAATTTTCAGTCTGTTCTATGTATTTAGCCTTATTAATAATGGCTACATTGAGAGGAATAAGTTTTATGGAAACTTAAAATGCCTCTTAATATTAAGATTTTTATGTGGTACTTGCTTAAAGGGGTCGTGTTAACGAAGGATAATTTAGCAATAAGGAATTGTCATGGTATTTTGAAATGTTGTTTCTGCATGAAAAACGAGACTATTCAATATTTATTTGTGGAATGTCCCTATGCAAGATTTCTTTGGAGAGCTCAATTTTCTTCTGGTTTAAATACTCTGCTTATTATATCTCATATGTTTGAGAATTGGCTGGTGGGGGTTGATAAAAAAACTAGTAAACTTATTCTTGTTGGAGCATCTGCTATTTGTTGGGTTATATAATTGTGTAGAAATAATATGGTTTTTGACAAGTCACCATTTGTATCTTATATGCAGGTTCTTTTCAGAGCAACATACTAGCTCCAGTCTTGGGCTCAACTACTAAAGTGTAATGAAGATATAAAGTTAGTGAAGACTGCATATCGCAATCTTCAGTCAACGGTTATGCAGTTTTTCGCTAACTTTGGATGGAGATTCATAAATAGAATTCAATAATTCTGTGAACTTTTTATGTTGTGTGCGTCTTTAGTAGTTCGTGTGCTCCTGTTTTTTTTAAGATTATTTTTCTTTATTTTGTTGAATTGCTATAATAATTGGTTGTAACTCTCTGAGCAAAGGCCAGGATTATATTCCATTATCTAAAAAAATTATTTTGTGATAGAGTAGATCAAGAGTACAGAATACTGGAGAAATGCTTAGTATTGAAAAGAAAAGAAGTTGAATTGTGCATATATAATGTAGGAAATTTTTACATTTAAACAAAGTATATATTAAAACTTAAGTGGATCGTCGATAACTGAATTATTTTCATATCTAAATCATGAGATAAATAACTCTAACATATTAACATGGTAAGATAAGACCATTGTCCATAGCCCAAAGGCACGACATAATGCCGTGGCAACAGAACACTGGAGCCTGCTTGGCACATGCCATTGACCATCATGTAGCAGCATTTGTCAAGCCATGCATGGCTGATGGCTGGAGCTGCAGCGACAAAAGATTTAGTAGTACTTTAATTTAATTTAAAACTAATTAAACTTAACTGAAAATTATTGAATAAAATTAAAAGGCATCAGACATGCATGTATATATAGGCTGGCTATATGTTCAGATTTATAACGAGAAATAATTATTATTATTATTATTTGCAGAACGAATATGCTAGCTAGCTAGGAAGAACGTACTTGAGTGACATAGTCGACCAGAAACGGGTAGGTATATAATTTGAGATTTGCAGGGGCTTATCGCTATAGCTTAGCATGATTCTTAAACAGTTATTATTAGCGTAAATTTCAGTTTGAACCCTCGATCTTTTCTTACCAGAGTTTCACATCGGACCTCCTTAATTTAGCGCAATTTTTAACTTTTTGAACCGCTTTTATAAAAACTTCCTTGTTTCACTTTGGGTATTTTTTTCCACATCATATCAAGCTTAGTCTTAGCGTGTCAAATAATCTGCCTATGATTACACACTCCTCTTGTCGACACCACTGTCTTGACGTCCTCAACATACATGGTTGAGGAAAATGGGTCTAAAGTGAAAAAAAGTAGGGAAAATGGGTCTAAAGGGAAAAAAAGTAGGAAAAATGGGTTCGTAGTAAAACTTCGGTAAGAGAACGATGTCGAAACTAAAATTCAAACCTTGTTATTACTGATCTCTTCGAAAATAAATCTTAGAATTTCTAGCTTTCGTCACTGTTTGTACATGTGAGATCGATTATGGTACCATTAATTAGGACCATGAGGGCGTAATGAGAGCTCTTGTAGCTCGAAAGCTCCATCGCGTGGTACTACTGTAATTTGAACCAATGATGAGCTTTGAGAGACTTGACTTCGTTTTGATGGCCAGCCATTATACGTACGTATCACTGGACATCACGTAATACGTATTAATTGATTTTAAGTTCGGTATATCTTGGTCTGCTGTCAAGCTAGATATCCGTCTCATTTCCCTACCAACTTATGGAGTCTTCACACACACAAGTCAATGCCAATGCAAATTATTTTCCAAAAGCCTGCTATCAATTCGTCATTGGCTATTTGGCTCAATAATTATTGTAGAAAAATGTTCATGATATATACTTCCCCAAACTATTTTGCTAGGGCACTAGCTTGACCCCTAAACTATTTCTCAGCTTGTTTTACATCTCAAGCTATTAATAGTACTAGTACATAATTCATTTTTCCGTGTGGTCAAAATCCATTTTACTGTGCAGAGGTAGCGTCTGTATGCACCCAGAGGTCTACGAAAATCAATATTTTCGCGTGCGGACGACCCAACCGCACGATAGTGCAGTCAAATTATACCACCCAAACAAAAATAATTGAAAAAAAAATCGAAAAAATCCCGCCATCGTCGCCGCGGTCGCTCAGCCACCGCTCCCCGCCGGCGGGGATGTGCTTCACGCCGCCACCATCGCGCACCTGCTGCCGCTGCTCGTGGTTGCCGTCGTTGCGCCGCCTCCGCTCGTGGTCGCCGTCGTTGCCATCGTCACGCTGTCGCTGCTCCCCGCCGCCGCCGATCGTGCTCGCTGTCGTTACCGCCGCCGCCGCTGCTCCTTGCCTCCGCCGCCGCTCGTCCTCGTCGTCACCGTCATCGCACTGCCTGGCTGCGCCGTCGGCAGCGGCGGTGGCGACGCCGCCGCCGCCCCGTGCGCTCAGTGGGGAGGGGAGGAGAGGAAAGAGGCAGAGAGAGAGACAGGAGACAAAGAGGGGAGGGGAGAGGAGAGGCAGAGAGAGAGGAGTGAGTGAGGGAGGATAAAAGGGAAAAGGAAGAGAGAGGATGTAAAAAATTTGAAGTTGAGATGGAAAAAGAAGAAAGAGGATGTGAAAATTTTGAAGTAGGTGAGGGAAAAAAGGGAGAGGTATTTTCCCGTGCGGTCCACTTAAGAGGCCTGCACACAAAAATCGATTTTTTCGTGCGGTCCTCTTAAGTCGGTTGCACGGGATAATACATTTTCTTGTGCGGGCGACATCCCAGCGCCGGCCGCCCGATTTTTCCAGACGGCGCTACTTATAGCCTATCTAGAATCTACCGGAGCCGGCGTTTAGAAAAATCATTTATGTACCAGTATAAATATGATCTACCTAATCCCTAATGGTATTGAAAACAGTACATTAAAGTAGCAAGTAGCAATAAAACTCACATTTCACTGTGCATTTCAATTTAGAAAGGGCTAGCATGGCCCAGCTTATTAGCTTACGCTAATAAAGCTAGATCTGCCCCTGTATATATATATATATATATATATATATATATATATATATATAAAGTGCAGATGCATGCACCAACAGTTTTCAGGATTTGTCAGTCATAGGATCAAAGAATGGGGCATGCATTCCGCGAATAACTTAGTAGATCAGCGTGTTTATAAAGAGGGTGCTTCGATTCATTGATACCCGAAGCACATTATGCGGTATGGCGCGGGACCACGTTCCCTCCTGCATATAAATTCTTGTTCTCAATGATTGTAATAACCTCTTTCTCGCAAATAAATAAATTAATTAATAAATAAAATCGTGCAAATAATAGGGTATCACTATCCTAGTCCTCAGGAATCACATCCGACATATTATAAAGGGAGCAAGAAGGCCCCTCTCATAAATTAGTATAGCCATCGTAATTGTGTACTCGAATAAATAAATTAATTAATATATATTATATACGTGTCACGTGAGATTAACTGTGAGTGTTCCCACAGTTAATCCATATGTAATATAATAATATGGTTCTTTTAATACTATATTTTTTTAATAAATGATGCCGTTAACTTTTCATATGATCGTATAAATTGATAATTTTTTATTTAAAAATATTAGCACAAACATGTATAATTAAAAATCGCATACAATATATTTTTAATAATAAAAAAGAACAATAAAATAAAGAATATTTGTGTATTTTTTAAATAAAACGAATGTTTAAATGTCATCAATATCATCTAATAAAAAAAAGGAGGGAGTACTTATTTTTACTCACGTGGTTCTCATAAACAGAAATTATTCATATGATCGGCATAATGTGAAAATTAATAAACACGGTTTAGTGGTAATCATTACATATTCGGGACACGACTAGCATAGTCAGAGAGACCGTTCCAGTAGACACAGGTCATGACATCGTTGTCGGAGTTCTGAAGTGCAAAGCGTTGCAGCGTGGCTGCTACTGCTAGCTCAAATTAAGTTAAAACAATTTATTTGGAGAAACAATGTACTATTTGAGAGCATTTCCATTACCTAAAAAAAAATCAGAGAGAACATACATAACATTTGGTCGGAGCATTGAAACGCCAGACAAAGGTACACATGCATTGCGGTAAAAAAAAAGATCAACCAAACTTGAATGCACATCAATTTAGGTACACAAAATTAATTAAGTTTTCAAATTGAATAGTAACAGCCAAGCATCTCTTACACAGGTTTACAATAAACCTCACCATCCATGACACTTAATTGACCTCCCTTTCTCTTTTCAGTATACATATATATGCTACTACCAACCAAACCACCCATACATGACACATGCAAAACAAAGTAATAATTTTTTTTTTCACTTTTTATCCCTACCAACACACGGCAAAAGGGAATAACTTTTTAATTCGATAACGTTGTTATTGTAGTAGTAGTTATTATTAGGAAATATATATATATCGATATCGATATATATATAATTTTTTTTTATGATCGATGATAAAAGATGACGTGTGGCGTACGTAGGCCGGCCGGCGGCGACCAGGGCGGAGCGCTCAGGCGGCGGCGCCGGCGGTGATGGGGACGCTGTGGAGGACGACGGTCTCAACGGTGAGGCCGGGGCCGAAGCCGAAGAGGACGCCCCAGTCCATGCCCTCGCCGGTGGTGGCGTGGCCGTCCTCGGCGGAGCGCTTGCGCATCTCGTCGAGGATGAAGAGCACGCAGGCGCTCGACATGTTGCCGTACTCGGACAGCACGTGGCGCGTCGCCCTCATCCTCTCCTTGTCCAGCCCAACCTTCGCCTCCACCTGGTCCAGGATCGCCGGACCTCCGGGGTGCGCCACCCAGAAGATGGAGTTCCAGTCCGAGATCCCCAGCGGTGTGAACGCGTCGCCCAGCGCGCGCTCGATGTTCTTCGAGATGAGCCCCGGCACGTCCTTGAGCAGGTGGAACGTCAGCCCGACCTCCCTCAGGTGGCCGTCGATGGCGCCCTCGCTGTCCGGGAGGATGGTCTGGCTCGCCGACACCATCTGGAACAGCGGCCGCTCGACGGCCTCGTCGGGGTCGGAGCCGACGATCACCGCCGCCGCGCCGTCGCCGAACAGCGCCTGCCCGACCATGGAGTCGAGGTGGGACTCGGAGGGCCCCCGGAACGTCACCGCCGTGATCTCGGAGCACACGGCGAGGACGCGCGCGCCGCGGTTGTTCTCGGCGAGGTCCTTGGCGACGCGGAGCACCGTGCCGCCGGCGAAGCACCCCTGCTGGTACATCATGAGGCGGTTCACGTTGGGCCTCAGGCCGAGCATCTTGGCGAGCTGGTAGTCGGCGCCGGGCATGTCGACGCCGGAGGTGGTGCAGAAGACGAGGTGGGTGATGCGGGAGCGCGGCTGCCCCCACTCCTTGATCGCCTTCTGCGCCGCCGCCTTCCCCAGCTTGGGGACCTCGACGACGACGATGTCCTGCCGCGCGTCCAGCGACGGCGCCATGTACGCGCACATGTTGGGGTTCTCCTGCAGGATCTCCTCCGTCAGGTGCATGTACCTCTTCCTGATCTGCGACTTGTCACCTGCATCCATGACGTCAGCAGCATCCTTAATTTCCCATAATTAATTATTTCTTCTCACAGTATCCATGTTTTGGCGGGAAAATGAAATTAATTAATTAAAGAAACTCTTGTATATATGTATAGTTAGGTGTGGAAGAATTAATCTTTTTTCTTTTTATTTTCTTTTTTTTCTCCCACAATTCCATTTCCTGATCCTCCGATGACGTCAGCATCGTTTCCCTAATTTCTTTTTTTCTCACAGTATCTATTTTGGGCGGGAAAAATGAAATTAATTAATTAAGTAACTCTTGTATATATGTGTAGTTAAGTGTGGAAGAATTAATCAGGGTAATTAACTAATTAGCTCTCCAGTCGAGTCATGATCGAAGTGAGAGTGGCCACTGCTGCTGTGTCTTGTTGCTATATGGCGTGTGGGCCCTGGGTCTTTATAAGGGGTAGGTATAGTACGATATCATGGACTTGTAGTTGGGAAAAAAGTTTTTTCTTTTTTTTAAGGTTGAAGAAATGGTTTTCGTGCGCAACAAAGTAATTCAGATTAATTACTCCTTGCAAAAAAAGATAAGAAAAAGTGAACTCGGGTAATTAAAAATCGATCTATCAATTTGCTTATTTTTTTTATATTTAGAAAATCTATGAACTTCAACCGTCAACCCATAAACGACCCGTGAAACGTCCAAATCCGCCTGCTTTTATGCATGCAAATTAATTTGGTACTTTAATTTGCTTTCTTTCTTTTTCTCCAAAAGCTGCAGTAGATCTTCCATCTGATCTCCTTGATTAATCAAGAAGATGCATGGTCAACTAATCATATATTAGAAAAATTGTAAAGCACAGGCTGAAGAAAACATCAGCACTTCATATCTGGTTGCTTGGTCAATTTTTAAAGAAATCAAGTTGCCTCTATGGGGTCCCTTATACTCTTGACATGTCAGTAAGTGAGACACCTGAACCTACTACTCCTACACAACCTAACTAGCTTGTATGAGTTAGCTATATCAGGTCAAACCGTTGTCCTCTTTCCATGGCCATGCTTCTTGTGTGTTCTTGTGTGTGTATGGATGACCATGCTTAAGGATAACTAACAAACTCCCTAACTAATTATCTCAAGACAAAAGTACTCTTAGCATGCTACAAGAAGAAACATATATAGTATTATGTACACTGTTCCCTTGTAAACATCTGTGCAGCTATATACTAGCTTGTGATTGTCCATGTCCATGGATACACCTAGCTAGGTGCTAGATTTTGTCATATATAACTGCTAGCTAGTGTATATTACTTCAGAGAATGTAAGCTTTGATTTTTTTCCTTTATAGAAAAAAATATAATACATATAGCTTTTAGCTAATTATAATCCCCTTTTTTTTTCACTTCTCTCTGTTTTTTTTATAACTAGATGGCCGGCATCCATCATGTAGCTCCATACGTACGCATGAGGTAATTAATTAACAAAATTAACCAAAGAGAACAAACCAAAGCTTGCATATATACATATGCATACAGCCATCACGTAAAATTTCATGGAGATCATCATATATATATCCATGCATGAATGCATAATGCATATATATAAAAATGCATATGGCCGGATTGATCAAAATATATTAATGAGGTAGAAGAAGAAGAAGCAGAGAGATGTGAGATGGGATGCTTACACATCCTCTTGAACTTCTCCTTGAGCTCGACCATGTGCTCGCTCTTGGTGATCCTGAAGTAGTAGTCCGGGTAGTCGGCCTGGTACACGCAGTTCGCCGGCGTCGCCGTCCCGATCGCCAGCACCGTCGCCGGCCCCTCCGCCCTCTGCGCCCTCCTCACCTCCTCCACCGTCACCGCCGCCGCCATCTCTCTCGACTAATTCACCAGGTCACCGGCGATGACGAAGACGACGATCGGTGAGCTTAGCTAGAACCAGCAGCAGCAGCAGTGTAAGTGGCACACACAGCTAGCTAGCTCTCGCTGATGATGAGTAGCAGCTTGCTGGTGCTGGGGCTTGTGCGCTGCTTGCTGCTGCTGGGTTGGCAAAGCGTGGTGGGGCGCGTGCTGATATATATAGGCGCGGGGGGGAGGGGGGGTGGTTAGGTCGGGCGGACGGGCGGATGGCGGCCACGTGGGCTCCGGGTGGGAAACGGACGGCGGCGGCGACACGTGTACCAACCGGCCTGGACTCGGAGGGGTTAGTTGGCTCGCGTGGCCAATGCAGCTCTCGCTCGCTCTACCAAAGCTAAAGCTTTTCTTCGGAGATGGATTTTCATTCCTCCGTGGGAATGTACTCTCGTTTGTTTATATGTCATCTACTTCCTCAGTTTTAGATTATAAGTCGTTTTGATTTTGAACAAAATTAAACTGTTTTAAGTTTGACTAAATATATAGATAAATATAGTAAAATATTTATAATACTAAATTAGTTTCATTAAATCAATAATTCAATATATTTTCATAATAAATTTATCCTAGGTTGAAAATATTACTACTTTTCTCTATAAATTTGGTCAAACTTAAAGCAGTTTAATTTTGACCAAAGTTAAAATGTATTATAACATAAAACGGAGGAAGTAAATAGTTAAAAAAATTGAAAAAAATGATAATATATATTAACATGAAATACACCACTATACAAACATACAAGACCAAATTTGACTTCTACAGGTTACAACAAAAAAGAACAAATCAAACCGAAAATAGTTAACGTACATTCGCATCTATGTTTGCTATTTTTGTTACAACTTGTACAAGTTGAATTTTTAACTTGCATGTTTGTAGAGTGCTATATATTTTATATTAATCTATCTTGCCAGAAAAATTTTCAAATCCTTTGATGACTATTTAGTTGGTATATATGCACACGAGGGGATGAAATCACTTTCCCCTTTTCTTCCTGGATCGTCGTCGAAACAACAGTAATACGTGTGCGTGCCGTCTGCGCCACATGCGATATGACGACGACGTCGCTCGCTCGCTCGCGCGCGCGCGCGAGATGCCAGTTTGTTGCTGGATCGATCGATCGATCGATGGATGGAAGGTCCAACTCACGGTGGCCGCGCGCGCGCGCGCCCGTGGAGAGGCGTGGACTGCTAGTTGCTGGAATGCTGGGTGGTGTCGTTGTGGGAAAAGGAGACTGGTTGCTGGTGCATTTGCTAGGGACAGCACGTATACGCGCGTGCGTACAGTGGTGCGTACGCTTGCTTGTGTGTGTGTACGCTGTTGCTGTTGCTGCTGCTGCGGCTTTATTTCTTTCTCTCTCACTTTTTTCTTTTTTGTTTTTTTTGAGGAGAACGTACCTTTTGTTGCTTGATTTGGTTAGGATCGATGATGATATTTCGGGGATCGTTTCAGGTCGATCAGATCGATGATCATCTCTGCTTAATTGCTTTTGGCTCAGGCATTGGTGTACATGGCGTACTATAATGCGTAATGCGGCTAGAGCTTCAAAATCTTGATGAACTGAAGGGAAGGAAAAAAAAAGGATTTTTAGCTAGTAAAAATGGTGCTATCAGAAAATTCTAGGATTCAACTCGGACGGTGACATTAGACTCCCCCGTAGGAGTGGATTTTCGGGGTTGGGTTAAAAAAGGACCCCCTCGTCACCCTTGCTGCTTTGAGAGAAACCTAGAGGAAGCCTTAGTATTTTTTTTCTCAGTCCTGCAATGAGAAAAGTATCTAGGGGAGATCATCCACACGAGGTTTTTTAAGAGACTGTCAATAACCCCCCCCCCCCAACCCCAAGGAAAAAGAAAATCTTTCAAATTCTAGAGCATCTAATTGGTTTAAAATTCGTACAGGGCAACCAAACCCTAAAACCCTCACCTCATTCCATTTCACCTTACTCCATCCCTCACGTCGCTGTTGTTTGCTCGTGCGAGACTGCAATCCGCACCGCCAACCCATCCCAGAGCACCGCTGCCTAGCCTCGCTGGTTGGCCGGAAGGCATCAACGCCGCAAGCGAGCCCGTTCCCCCCTCCCCAACCCCCACCCTCTCCTCTCCTTAAGACGGTGGCGGCGAGCTGCTCCCGTGTCGCCGTCTTCCCCTTCTTCGGTGGCTCCCCGCCACGGAATCCGCCACCACCAGACGCCTCCCCCTAACCAGTCCTTCTTCTTTGTCCCCGTCGCCAACACTGGCCCAGCACTCGCTTCTGACCCTGCGGCTTCGGTAGCGCTGCCGTTGTCTCGCCGCTCGTTCGATCCGGCACCCACCGCCGGGCTGCCGCCTCCCAGAACCATCCCTTTAAAGCGAGAGAATTGCCCCCTTTTCCCTCTCCCCCACCCCCTCCCACCTGACCCCACCCCCGGGAACGTAATACATAGGTCCCTATGGTAGTTTGGGGGTGCTGCTAGTGCCGGAGAAGATGAAACAATTGTTTTTGACGGTCCTTAAGTATTAAATCTGACCATCAATCCCTATATAAAAGCGAATGAAATAAAACATCTAACTTAGAGATAGTGGTTATTATAAACCATTTCCCGGCAGAAGGAGCGGTCGGAAAGTAGGACCAAGGGGTCGCCCGAACCCTAAGGTCGGTCAAACCGCCTTTGTGGACTCTCACCTCCACCTTCTACGTGGACGACCCAGATTAATTCATTCCCTATGACGGTTGTGGGTGAACCGATCTTATAACCATCATAGTAAGCATCATAGGAGGGATATAAAAGGAGATTATCATCTCACTCTCAAGACACATAAATCAAGTGGAGTACAACTCACTTTTTAGACTACTCTCTAGTACAACTAGAATATAAGAAGAGAGTGAGGGGAAGCTCCGAAAGGAGTGCCCTTGATGTCAAAGTTCTCTTCGGGGGAGTTCCGGAAGAGTGCTGGAGATGTTGAAGTTCTCTCCAGGGGAGTTTCAGAGAAGTGCCAGAGATGTCGCCATTTTCTCCGGAGGAATGCCGGATATGTTGACACTCTTTACGATCTTGTACCACGATGGATGCTTCTTTTATATATGTATTTGTGATTTTCTTTGTTATTTACTTTTCTTATTTAAGTAAGATATATTCTCATCCTTGTGGGTTCATGGCTCTGCTTAGTTAGAGTTCCTTAATCTTTTATAAGCGTGGTACCAAGATAAATTTTTTTAATTTTAAAAATAAACTCTTTCAAAACCTATTTTCAGAATATAAACCTTTATACTACGGCAGCCCGTCTGGCATGGCAAAATAACACCGACACGCGACAAACAACAGGCGTGACAGCTTTATCCTGCCATGCCAGCAACGGTGGTGTGGCTAAATAACGCTGCCACGCTAGCCAGACTGACGTGGAAGTGTTGTTTTCTGAGGTCAATCCGACTAGCGTGGCAAAAAGGTTTAGATCTTGAAAATAAGTTTTGAAAGGGTTTATTTTTAAAATAAAAAAGATCTACCGAGATTAGGGTAGTAATCAATAGTTTAGATGTGGTGTCTAGGCTGAAGGTTACCTTTGTTGGTAGAGTTAGACAGTTCGTAGCGACAACTTTGTTCGTCCTTTGTAATCCTCCACATTCAGGTACATCATAAAGCTGTAGGACAGAGTCTCCTTGGCAGACCAGGGGTAGACCGGTGTCCGAAGCAATTGATAGAGTTTTACCTTAACCTAAAATAAGATAATTAACCCATAAAAATCCTCTCTATCCTAAGCCTTCAATTTAGTTGTTGTCCTGGGATGAATCTTGTTGTTAGATTCAAGTACATACACATGTTCATACTTTTGGGTGAAAACTACAATGGTATTTGTGCGCTTTCAGATTATTTTGTACTTGTTATAAATACCAACAGTTGCCGAAGCTAAAGAAAAAGGACAGGAGTACAATTCGCAAAGTACATCCGATGGACCACAATCTGTAAGATTTAAAGGTAGATTTTCTGGCGAATGGAATTTAGCAATTCCTTTTTTCAATGTGTCAAGTAAAAAAGTAACAGGGGTTATATGAAATATTTTCTTACAATGTTCTTTTTCTTATATTCTTAGAAATCCCTGATTAAAGAAGTACTCCTATCACTACAAGAATCCGTAATTTTCTTATCCGCCCCTGGTTTCTTCGGCGGTCAGAAAAAATAACAAAACAGCCGTCAAGTTTAGTCATTCAAGAAAAATGGCGAACAAGTGTAGAGTTTGTGGAAATCTTCAAGAAAAAAGGCCTAGAATTTTTCTGCTTTGACTTTCAAGATTCGGAGTATGGGGACACTTTCATCCGGTCTCTGTGGAAAATTTTGTAGGGATCAATTAATTTCCCGTATAAGTCGAGAAAATACATCCGGGTCATTGTTTCTTACAAGGAGTTCGCGTGCCCACGTTTTTTTTAAACCGATTAGCGTGTCCAAGTTACCTGCGAAAAGTTAATTTCTGGGTGGAGTGGCAGACGATCGTCATTCGTAGGTTTCGGTTCTTACTTCTATTCGCTGAAAAGGACAGTGCTTAATTAATTGCAAATTTTGCTAGTGTGTATCCCACTGTACTGTATATATATAGCCGGCCGGCCAATATTGATTGATAATTCTACATATATGTACGGTTTTTGAAAGCTACGAGAGTAATGTTATATCTTGCGTAGTGCAAAATTTAATACTACCTCCGTCCTAATTTAACGTTCATCTTTTCGCTTATGGCTATGCTTATCAGCCAAATTTTAAATTTTCAACCTTAAATTTGAAGCTGAAATTTGAAGCTGATTTTAAGGTTTTTCCATCGAAGTTTATTTTTCAATATTTGCTTTTAGGTCGCTAAAAACATGCATATAAAAGTTTTATTCACAAATTATTTCTCGTTTGCAAATATGACAAACAATGGGGCCGTAGTGCAGTTGTAGGTTTCCGTGTCCAACGTTTGACCGTCGGTCTTATTCGAAAAATTTATGAAAAAATTAAAAAATAATCACACATAAAGTACTATTCATGTTTTATCATATATAATAACAATAAAAATACTAATCATAAAAATATTTCAAATAAATTGGATACTATGGTATTTTTAGGATAGAGCTAGTATTGATCTGTTAGTGTCATAAAAGATATTAAATTTGAATTTACCATACATAGAAAATATATATGGCACCCTG